ACCAGGAGTCAGGAAGACCTGAGTTAAAACTTGGCCTCGGACACTTACTAGCTGTGTGACCTTGGGCAAGTTACTTAACCCTGTTTACCTGAATCTCCTCATCTGTAAAATGAGCTGGAGAAAGAAATGGTGAACCACTCCAGTACCTTTACCAAGAAAACTGCAAATTGGGTCATGAAGACATTACTAAAATAACTGAACAACAATATAAAATTGCACTGATAGTTATTAAGGAAGTAGAATTATTTTCTCCTTTTCAAAGCTTCTGTCTGATCATTTTAAAAGACAGAAGGGTTTATTTTACAAGTTAGACTCTCATAATTTTTTTTAAAAAATTCTTATATCAGGTACAGGGTTTAGTAAAGATAAAAACAGTAAGCTGTATATGAAAACTGAAATTCTCTAAAGTCTCAGGTTCCTAATGGCTTCCTAATTTAATGTTCTTCCTATAGCTCTTATGGTTCTTAATAGGATCAGAACCATAAAGCTTGAACTGGTTTTCCCTACATGAACAAGTTATTGGAAAACCAAACTCAAGAGGTTGTATTACATTGTATTAAATCTTGTTACTAGCAGATTTTAGCAAAATTACCTAAGAATATCTGTGATTTGGAATTAGAGAAGCAAAGGCCCCTTCAGAGTTGTCCATGAATGAAGCCTATTCCAGAATGTCCAAGAGAAAATATTTCCAGGGACCAGACAACTACATGGGACTTCTGAGATTCAAGATGTGCTGATTAAATGGACATTGGGAGTGAGTTACTAGGATACAAGGACACTTGATGTTAATGATTATCACTGAAGTATTGCTTTGACTTTTTGTTTCATAGTGTTTATGTTTGCAGAGTTTTCTTGATTACCTTAGTGACATGCAAATCTCCCCTCTCAAAATTAGTCTACTGTGAACCCTCTAAATATTTCAATCTGTAGCCTTAGTTTATCTACAGGGTCTATTTAACAAGATTTGTATATCATCACTACTGTTCTTAGACTCTGTGTTAGCTGGAGTACTAAGCTATGTGAGAGGATGATTCCCAGTGGTCTTTTCTTGGTATATAATGTTGATAGTAAGCATAAGCACATTAAAAACCTTATAAATTTGGTTTATAGATAAGTGATCCACAGGGAACAATGACGCAAAGTGGGGAATTGAAGGAATTGTGTGAATTGAATGAACCAAACTGATTCCATCTTGTGACTCAATTCTTCCCCGTGAATCAAAGTGAGGAATTGAAGGAATTATGGGAATTGAGTGAACCATACTGATTCTATCTTGTAACTCAATTCTGGAGCTAGCTCACTTCCCTTTCCAATCAGATTCAAAGATCAATGCAAGGAATTTTTTCACAATTATACATCTCAAAGCAACCTTATATGAAACCTTATGTCTTATGTGAAAACTGGCCTTGTACTGGTCAATTAGTTACTGTTTCCATGTTCCTTTTTTTCCTTAAACATTTTAATTTATTATTTAATTATTTTTCACATTCTTTTCTTTTTAAATTAAGTTCTAAATTCTCTTCCTCCATTCCATAACCACTGAAAATGAAAGCAATATGACATCAATTACACATGTGAAATCATGCAAAACATATTTCTGTATCACCATATTTCAGGGGAAAAAAGCAAGAAAACAACATGAGAAAATTATACTTTGATTTGCACACAGAATTCTTCAGTTCTCTTTCTAGAGATGGATAGTGTTTTTCATCATGAGTCTTTTGGAATTACCTTGTATCATTGTATTGATCAGAGTAGTCAAATCTTTCACAGCTGATCATCATTACAACATTGGTCTGTACACAATGATATCCTAATTTTTCTCACTTCACTTTCTATCAGTTCATGCAGGTCTTGCCATATTTTTCTGAAACCACCCCGGGGCCTCATCATTTCTTATAGCACAATAGTACTCCATCATATCATATGCCACAACTTGTTCAGCCATTCCCCAACTGATGGGTATCCCCCTGATTTCCAATTCTCTGTCATCACAAAAAGACCTGCTATAAATATTTATGTACATATAGGTACTTTTCCTTTTTCTTTGATCTCTTTGGGATATAGACCTGGCAATAGTATTTATTGCTGGGTAATCACAGTTTTATAGCCATCAGAGCATAGTTCCACATTGTTCTCCAGAATGGTTGGACCAGTTCACTATTCCACCAGCAGTTCATTAGCGTACCTATCTTTTCCTCATCCATCCCCTCCAACATCTGTCATTTCTGATAGGTATAGGGTGGTATGATCATAGGAGAGGTATAGTCACTGCTCTCCTGGTCTGTGCTCTGGTCTTTACCCAGGAAGGGCCCCCTGCAACCACAAGAGCTCTTCTTTGTGCTGGAACTGTGACCAGAGCTCCTGCTTCCTTGTGATCGACGACCACAGCTCCTCTCTGCCCTGAAATTGCGACCTAGAACTGCACATGGGCAACAGAATTTCTAATCAGCTTCAGCTATACCCAGTACCAGCAAAGGGACTCCTATAATCTCTTTCTGACCAGTTGTCTGACCCCCTTACTGTCTGTGGGCTAAGAGCTTCCAAAGCTGCTGCTGCAGTGACCACTACTGTCTGGACAGGCTCCAACCCAGTGTCAGACTTCTCCTGCTGATCTCTCAAATTTTCTTAGGCCTGAAAAATGTCTCATCTAGACCTTTTTTTGGCTCTATCACTCCAAAATTGAATTTGAGGTGTTACTTCAAAGTTGTTTGGAGGGAAAATCTGGGAGAGTTCAGCTGGATGGCTGCTCCTAATCCACCATCCTAACTTCTCTTCCATGTTCTTTTGATTAAATACAGACACCTGGGGGAGTGGGACAGCTCTTTTTCCGATTTCAGGGAATTGTACCTCTTTGCTCTCCCTCTCCTAACCTGAAAAGTCCCTAATCATTCCTCCCAGGAGAAATCACAATACTTAACCTTGTATCGTGGTTTGCATACTGTTAATTGTTTTCTTTTTTTTCTTTTTTTCTTTTTTTTTAAGGCAATTGGAGTTAAGTGACTTGCCCACGGTCACACAGCTAGTAAGTGTCAAATGTTTGGTCTAAGGCCAGATTTGAACTCAGGTACTCCTGACTTCAGGGTCAGTGCTCTATTGACTGCGCCACCTAGCTGCCCCCAATTGTTTTCTTTTAATGCACAAACATCTATCTTCCCCTGCATTCAGGGTCCAGTGCCTATATGAAGAGGCCTGGTCCTAATTTGTTATGCAGTTGGTATGTGCTGCTTAATAAATTGATATTCTAGGAAGCTTGTACTTTTGTTTCTTCAGTTATTTCAGAGTTCACTCATCAGAGAAGAGAATGCCATGGGAGGCTTGAAAAAATACAAGAAGATTAAGAAGAACAACTGCTTTGGAAAATAGAATAGAAAACTGAATTTAGAGAGGCAAAGAATGATGGCCTTGCTGTAGTAAGGGTCTAATTGAGATTAGATAACATAAATTTGTAGTGGACACAATCAGATCATGATTTCTTCTACCTCGGTCCCTCAGGAAGTAAATAAGAATGAAGGAAGTAGAAGATGGTGGCAAATTCAGAAGCAGAGCCAGGAACAGAACATTAAACATAAGATCATTTTTGCGTGTAGTGAATAGACTAAGGAATTCAAAGTTTAGGTATCTGTGGGAGCACCAACATGTAATCTTGAAGTCTCTTAGCATAAGAGCAGAAGAGAAAGAATGTGAGGTAGGCAAAACTGAGTAAAGAAGGTAGATGTCCTTGGGAGTCAGTAGGGAATGGCCCAAGGGGGATGGATCTAGATTGAGTGATTGATTTGAATAATGAATCCACAAAGGATGAGAGACTGCTAAGTAATGGTAGTACAGGGAGAGTCTGGAAAGTCAGGAAGTAAGGAATATTTTGACTGCATATCACTACGGTATCTAACAAAAATGGAGTATTATTATTACAGAGAAAATATAGGCAAAAATTCCAATAACTAGTGAGAAAATTATGTGTACTTTAAGCCCTGCAGGTTTTTAAAGGTTGTGTGGCATGACAGACAAAAAAATTAAGTACTCATTTTAACATCACTGATTATTCTCATATTACGTATTTTTAACAGAACAGAAAAAGCAACACTCATGGGAAATGCATCACAGTAACTTATTTATTAAGCAAGTAAATTTTGTCAGATTGTCTGGCAAACAAATTGTTAAAAAAGTAAAAGAAAATTGCTGCATGGTCTAATTTTTCCCCTTAAAATTATTTTAGCATTTTCTTTGTTTTGAAGAGTTGCTTACTACTGCAAAGTAAATTATCTGCCTCCCTCAAATAGAGCATACAGGTTTGCAAAGATCAGTATTATTCTTTAAAAAATAACAGATCCTGTCACTATTAAGGAATGCAAAATGAAAACACTTTTAGACAATATGTCCTCTTCAAATTCTCAATATCTCATATACTTTTTGCTCATCTCCAAACACTAATGTTGTAAAAAGGATTATTTCCTTTGCTGTACTGTAACTTATTATTTATGAGTTAAGTTTAGAGCTACCTATGTACAGTTTTATTCTCCATCTTAAAACATTCCTCTAATAATTTTTAATGTCTGAAAAGTTATTTATGATAAATATCATTCCCTTGGTCAACACACATAAAAAGAGTATTGGTAACAAATGGATTTGTGACAGATCAAATTTTCTTGGTTAACTAGGGTCAGAATTAGTATACAAAATTATTATTCCTCCACTAATATTCTCTCATCTACTTCAAAAATTAAAAACAATTGTATATTTCTAGACAGATGGCAACTGTGCTTGGCACATGGTGAGGACCCAATACTGTTCATTCATTCATTCATTCATTCATTCATTCATTCATTCATTCTGTCTCTTTGTATTCCTCAATACCCCAACCCTCCAAAATACCTAAAACAGTACCTTCAACATAGTAGACACACAATATATTTCTGAATGAATTAATCAAATGCCAATGGAGCTCTTCCCTTTCGTTAAAAGTAGAAAAAATGTCCCATAAATTACTTATAGGAATTTACCTGCAACTGTGAGCTTGGCTGTTCTGCTTACAATGGTTCCAAGGCTTTCCACAGTGGCCACACACTGATAATATCCTTCATCAGGCTTATTGTGTTTGGAATGCACCACACTGTTAATCAACAAAGATCCATCTGGCAGGAGCTGACGCCGATCATCTGACATCAAGTTCAAAAAAGTTCCATCTTTCTTCCATTCAATTTTTGGGGAAGGTTCTGAATATACTGAGCAGTTTAGAATAACAGAAGATCCTCGAACTGAAAGGGTATCCACTGGTTCCACGACAAAATATAAGGGAGTAAACGTTCTTACACTGGCCCCTGTATAAACAGAAATGGGGAGAGAGAAAAAGTTAAGAAATTTTCATCTAATTTGTGGGGGGGGTTATAAAGTCAATTAACTACATACCTTTAAATTTTTTCTACTAGACTAAAAAACATATTTAAAAGTCACATAAAACACACAATACAGAAAAGTGCATAGTTTCCCTATGATCAAGAAGTGAGATCAAATATAAACTGCTATGGGTGGCATTTAAAACTCTTTCAAGTCTGTTTACAAACACTCTCCTCCACGGGTTCTGTGGCCCAGCCATTCAGGTCCTACTTGCTATAGGCACGCACACATGGCCTACCATCTCTGTGCCTTAGCACTGACTGTCTCTTGTGCCTAGCATGCTCTGTCTCCTCACCACCTTTTGAGACCCTTGGTTTCCTTGAAGACTGAGTTCAAAGGATACCTTCTCTCTGATAACTCTTCTAGTCCAGCCAGTTGCTAGCATCTTTCCCTGTAAGGTTACTTTCATCTAGTACATATATTACTGTTCTCAGAGCCAACCCGGCTCAGCAACTTGCTGAAGTTAGTGCAGAAGGACAGTGAACAGACTTTGCCCTGGATCACAAAACTTTGAGAGCACTGAAGCATTACAGGTCCCCAGCCAGAGATATTTTGGATGTCCTGAAAAAACACAATGCTTAAAAACCCCAAGAAAGCAGCAGAAGGTCCCAAGAAGACAAAAGCTTCAGCTCAGACCTTCCTGCCAGAAATGTACAGAGTGAGGCCTAAACACAAAGCTAAAAGTTAGGAAGTAAACTGGAATCATGAGCCAAAAATAATAATAATAATAATAATAATTCCACCACAAAAAGCCCTTATGGTAAATTGGAAACTCAAAACAGAAGTAGGGAATGACTAAAAAATATCTATAAAGCAACATTTCAAAGAAATTTCCAACTTGACTGAAGTCCAAGTCTCAGTATTCCTGAGACAAAGCATAATTTTTAAAAAAGAGCTAAAAATGATTTTAAAGCCAAATTGGGGGGGCGGGGTGTAAGAAAAGAAATGAGTGTTATGGAAGACACAGAAAGAGAGTAGCTTAGAACAAGATGTATAAAACCTTACTCAAGAAAATAATTTCCTGAAAATTATAATTGTTCCAATAGAAGCTAGTTACTCCATGAGACATCAAGAAAATTTTAAAACAAAGTGAAAAGACAAAAAAGAAAAAGAAAATATATCTCATAGCAAAACTGACCTAAAAAAACACAGATAGAAAACTCAAAAGCTTATGGAAGTCAATGTTGAAAACTAAAAATAAATTAATTTAAAAAAACAAATTTAAGAATCATTGGACTACTTGAAAACCACAACCAAAAAAAATAACCCAGACATCCTATTTCAAGAAATTGCAAAAAAAAAAACAAACCCAAAAACAAAAACAAAACACCATTTCCCAGGACTCTTAGAATCAAAGGACAAAGCAGACATGGAAAGAATCAACCAGCTACCTAAAAGAAATCCCCATACGAAAACTCCCAGGAAAATTATCACCAAAACCCACAACTTCCATATCAAAGAAAAAGTACTGCAAGCAAACATAAAGGAAGAATTCAAATACCAAGGAGCCAGGGGCAGGACCACACAAGATTTAGTAGCCTCCACTAAAAAGGAGTGGAGAAGTTGGAATATGATATTTAAGAATGGAAAGGATATAGACTTAAAGCCAATAGCATAGCCAGCAAAAGTGAGTATAATACTGCAAGGGAATAAATGAAATGGAAAACTTCCAAGCATTCCTAATGAAAAGACTTAAAGCTAGGTAAAAACTTGAAAATACAAACACAAGGGTCAAGAAAAGCATAAAAAGGTAAACATAAATGAGCAATCACAATGTAATAAAAAAGGAGAAACTACTGACATTATAAAATGGGAAGATGATAATACTCTCAAAACTTATTATCAGGGATTATAAAGGGAATATAGTTGCATAGAAAGTTTGGATATTGGTTCTGTTAAGTTTTGATTCTCCCAAAATAAGAATGCAAAGAGAGGGGAGAAATATACTGGGTTGGGGGGAGAAGAAGAGAAAGGAAGAATGCAGAAAATTATCTTATAATTAGTGTGCCCGAGTAGAATGTACCCTCCACAAGGAGGGGTGGGAAGACGCAGGTAACATTTAAACCTTCTCATAGTAACTGGCCAAAAGGGGGAAGAACACACATGTGCACACACATGAGCATATATACACACAAAGAGTTGGGTACATTTCACCCAAAAAAGAATCAAGGATGAAAGGAGAGAATAAGGGAAAACAGATTAAGGGAGGGATTAGTTATAATCAGAAGAAACTCTTAAAGAAGGAGAAACATGGCGCAGTGGATAGAGCACCAGCCCTGGATTCAGGAGGAGTTGAGTTCAAATCTGGCCTCAGACACATAACATTTACTAGATGTGTGACTCTGGGCAAATCACTTAACCCCATTGTCTAACCAAAAAAAAAAAAAAGGAGAAACAAAGAGAAGGAAGAGCATAACAGAATAGTATGAAGGGAAACATACAATAAACAATCGTAACTGTGAATCTAAATGAGATAAATTGATCCAATAAAACAAGAGAGAATGAATTAGAAACCAGAATCCAACAAAATGTTGTCTATAAGAAACATACCTGAAACAAAAAGATCCACACAAAATTTAAAATAAAGGGTAGGAGAATCTATTATGTTTCAGGTAAAGTTAAAAAAAGGCAGGGATAGTGATCATGACCTTGGAAAAAAAAAAGCAACAGTAAAAATAGGCCTAATTAAATGAGATAAACAGGAAAACTACATTTTATTGAAAGGTAGAACAGACAATGAATTAATATAATTTCTAAAAAAAAAAATGAGCCAAATGACACACTATCAAAATTCTTAAGGAAGAGGATGTAATAAATGAGGTCACAGGGAGAAATAGACAGCAAAATTATAACAGTGGACAACCTCAACGTACCCCTCTCAGACCTAGATAAATGTAACCAAAAAATAAATGAGGATATTGAAGGATCTGAATAGAAATTAGGAAATCTAGATAAGACAGATCTCTTGGATACTGAAGAAGAATAGAAGTTAATATATTTATTTCTCATGTGGGCACAGCACTTTCACAAAATAGCATGATAGTATGAAAATCTTGTAAAAAAATGGAGAAAAGCAGAAGTATTACATGCATTTATCATAATGCAATAAAAATTATAATCCAATAGTCTTTTCAGCAAAGAGTAAAAAATTAATAACTTAATTCTAACAAATGAATGGGTCAATGAACATCATAAAAATAATCAACAATTTTCATTAAAGATAATTAAAACAATGAGACAAAACACCAACATTTTATATACATTCAAAGCAATACATCCAAAAAGAGAAAGAACAGATTAATGAATTGGGCTTGCAACCAAAACAAAAAAACAAACAAACAAAACTAGAACACTTTACAAATTAAGTCTCCCAAATTAAACACCTAAATGGAAATCCTGAAAATCAAAGAAAAGATTAACAAAACTGAGAGCAAAACCAAAATTTTTTAAAACCACTGAATTAGAAGTTTTAAAAAAACAATAAAATAAATTACTAACTTTTTAAAAGAGAATTAAATTGTCAGAATTTTTTTTAAATGGTGTATTCACAATCAATGAAGAAAAAAATAAAAGAAATTACCAGGTACTATTTTTGCCAAATTACATGCCCCGCCTCCAAAAAATCTAAATTAAATAGATCACTATTTACAAAAATATAAAATCTCAAGATTAATAGAATAGGAAATAGAGAACTTAAAAAACAGGATAAGATCCTATCCTAGAAAAGAAATGGTTCAAGCCATAAATGAGTTTTCAAAGGAAAACAAAACAAAAGAAAGAAATCAGATAGATTTACAAGACTAGAAGGGGAAGAATTCATGACCAAACAAGCACCAGAGAGGTTCATAGGAGTAATAACGGACAATTCTGATCACAGGTTCTACCAAAATTTTAAAAAACAATTAATTCCAATACTACACAAACTGTTTTAAAAAAAAAAGGCATTAAAAGAAGCAGCCCAGCCAAATTTCTTCAATGGCGCTGTGGAGGGCGAAAGATGAAATGAATGAGGAAACAGAGGTTCAAGGTTCTGAGCACATATAGATTTATTAAACAATGCATGTCAATTGCTCAACAAATCAGAACCAGACCCCCTTAGCTGTACCACTGGACCCTGCATAGGGGAGACAGATTTTTATACATTAAAAACAATTAATTAAATGAGAACAAATAATTAAAAGAAAACAATTTACCAGGATGCAAAATTAGGTAATCCAATTTCTAACTGGAAGAAAGATTAAGGACTTTCCAGGTTGGGATGGGGAGAAGGAACAGGTACAATTTCCTGAAATTAGAAAAAGTGGCGTTCCACTCCCAAGCGTCTATATACAATCAAAGGAACATGGAAACAATAACTGATTGATCAGTGCTGAGCCAGTTTTCAGATAAGACACACGTACTGCCTGAGACGTATAATCGTGAGAAAACACCTTGCATCAATCTTTGGATCTGAGTAGGTTTCTAGTAAGCATAAGTCACGTCCTTAGTTAAGGGTCTTTAAACAGCAGGTACAGGTGGCCCAACTTCCAAGCCATGCAGGGCTAGGTTCAAACAATGGAATAATAAGGTTGTCTCACAATTCCTACAATTGAATAAAGTTTTCTCACAAGACAGAAATTGGACTAAACAGAAGAGTAAGGAAAGCACGCTAGCTCCAGAACTAAATCACAAGATGCTGTTCTAATCCCCTCACCACAAATATGGTCTTAACTCTTAAACTAGGGAGATCCGAAACAGAAAGAAAACTGTAGGCCAATATCCCTAATGAATGATAATGCAAAAATTTTAAACAGATATTAGCAAGGAGACTACAGTAGCCCATCACAGAGATACACACTATAACTAGGTTGGATTTATACCAGGAATGTGTGGCTGATCCAATTTTAGAAAAACTATAAACATAACTGACCATATTAATAGCAAA